TTTATAGCAAAAAGTATAGAGTTTTTATCGCGCGTCGACCGATATAATCACCGATTTGGACACCTAGGACATTCCGCTAGATTACCGGACCTGGACAGTCCTATTATACCATACCATACGGGTATAATCCAGTTTATTTTATTTAATTAACTGAATAACAATTGCCGTTCTTGCATTGTAAATAGAATATCCATAGATTTTTAAATAAAATCACTGGTTTTACAAATATAATAATAAATTTAACATATTTTCAAAACCTGTAAAGCATTTCAAATAAAGTACAAACATTTAGACCACAGATCATAAGACAATAGATCCGTCAGCAATAGATCCTTATGTCTCGTCTCGAGCACTATGTCTGGCCGGAAGGCAACCAAATACCAAATGAGGAGTTGGATTCAAGATTGGTTCAGACATTTGGTCCCGTTTTGAACCTACAGATCAGACCAAAGTGGGAAAGACTAGTGAATGCGTTGCAAGAGGTTATCAACGGGTGGTTATACCTCCACTTTGGCCCACAATAGGCATCAGTTGATTAAAAAGAGTGATTTAATCATCAATCATGACATCAATGACAGTGTATTTGAAATAGAAATAAATATTTTTACTGAAGTGTCTGTGACTGATGATCAAAGTCAGAAATTTGATCAGTTATATACACTTATTTTATTTGTAACTTATTTAGTTTAATTGAATCACAAGTTATGATTGATTTATGAATTGTTTTGCTTTGTATTTATACATTTGATTCATTAAAACCAAAATTTCTATTTGTATTTACATTTGCAAATTATAATAAACAAGTTACTGGTCAATGAATTCATTAGTTATAGTTTTATAGATGAACACAATATTGAGTAATACTATGGTGAACTCAGGTATGGCCAGCCTTTCTATCGGCCACTACAGTGTGGGCGCACTTCTCCGCCACCATAATTGTGGCCGCATTTGTGTTGGCGTTTACGTTGTCACTGAATACCGACGAATCGCACACTCGTAGACCCGACACTCCCTTCACTAATAGCCTCTCATTTACTACAACATCAGCCCTTCCCTCAGCCCCCATACGACAGGTGCCCATCGGATGAAAGTACGACATTGTGGTCATCCGCATAACACAATCAATATATGGATCGCATTCATATAGAGGTCTATCGGTGCACTTTGGACAGCCTAATATGTGCAGCGGTACTACGTTGACATACTGGGACATGGATGTGTTTTGGAGCAAATAATACGAGTACTTCAACGCCTCCATCATGTCCTCCCTGTCCAGCGGATGGGCCAGAAATTGGTTATCAATTAGCGGAGCATCAAATGGGTTGGCAGAGGCCAGGCGTACCGTTCCTCTGCTCCGGGCCCTCAAGAGACTAGTTCCCAACGACAGCAAGGTGACATGGCTCAGTTTGTTTACAATGGCAAGGAACTGGATGTCCGGCCACTTTTTATCGGCGTTGCGCTTACTATTAGTGAACACCATTTGACCCGAAAATGGACACAAATTACGGAATTTTAGTAGAAATTCGTTCAATTGGTTTGCATTCAATTGAGGCAGTGGTGGGGCCTGGGATTGAGGGTCACGTATCACAGACAGTGTGATGGCTAAGGGGTGGTTAACCAAATGATTGCCTACTGGGAGGTCAACTTTTACATCGATATTATGTTGTTTTAAATGGTCTTTGGGTCCGATTCCCGAAAGCATCAGAATTTGTGGGGAATTCATTGGACCTGAAAAAATACATACGCAAGGTAATTTTATAATGACTTGTATTAAAATAAATACATACCGGCGCTTAGTATGACTTCATTTGTGGCCAAAACTATGCGTTTTTCATTATCAACACTATATTGCACACCAAATGCTCGCAACTTATTATCACTTGTTTTGTTGACCAATATTTTGGTGACGAAAGCGTTGGTCATAATTGTGAGACGACTCGGGTATGGGTTTGGTTTGAGGTATGCCTTCGCAGTACTCATCCTCTGTCCGCCCCTTATAGTCATTTGCGATAAACCCGTTCCCAACTGATTGGCGCCATTCATGTCTACAGTCTTGTGTCCCAAACCGGTCAACACTTTCTCCAACGCCTTGTATATCACCGGCGGGTCTGTCGGCGTGGACACAGACAGGGGTCCAGTCGTGCCGTGAAAACCGGGATTTTCTTTCACTATATTCTGGTCGCTATTATTCTCAGACTTCATGAAAAACTCGAGAATCTCGTCATAACTCCAGCCTTTGGCCCCATAATTATGGGCCCAGTTGTCGAAGTCCTTGCGATTACCCCGAATATAAAACATGTAATTCAGTGAAGAACTGCCGCCCAAACCCTTTCCCCGGTAGTCAATGATACCGAAAGGAAAGGCTAAGCCGGCATACTTTTGGCGCACATTATAATACTCCCAATAAATCCGTTTTATAGCCTCATGTTTGAGGAATCCGTGCAAATAATGAGTAAAACCCGACAAATCCGTCACATTTGTATCGTAATCTCCGGCCTCTATCAAGAGGACAGTTGTGTTTTGCTGAGCACTGAGTCTATTGGCGATAACACAGCCGGCAGACCCACCGCCGACTATCACATAGTTATAACTATTTTGTAAATTTATTGCTAAAATTATTGTCACATTTAATGATAAAATTACAAATAATACAATGTTTACTAAATTCATAGTTTTATAATAAGTTAATTAATTTATAATAAATGAAAATAAAACATAATTTATAGTATGACAGCATATGTTATTGATAATAACTTTTAATAAGTTTTAATTTTCTTATATCTATTTATAATTTATAATTAATTAATTTTAAAAATAGTTAAAACTTAGAACTAATTTTGGGGGAATTTCAATCTGAGTTTTAGTTTCATTTGAGATGTTTTTTCAATAACTTATTTTTATATAAGATAAATGGGGTAAAGGGGTAGAAATGATTGAAAAGGGAAACTGTATTAAAATGAGGCGCCGGGAATCGAACCCCGGGTCACCAGATTACAGAACCACTGGACACCACCTCTAACACAATTTCTCTCTTATTTGGGTATTTAAAGGTTACAATAGAAACTACACTGAGTTTACATATAGCTTTGGACAAACGTTACAGCTTTTTAATGGCATAACTTTGAAATAATTTTTTCAATAACTGAAATAAAAAGTAGTTTAAGTGTTTCACAAAATACATCTCTCTCTCTCTCTCTCTCTCTCTCTCACTCACTCACTCACTCTCAGTATTAAATGAAAATTGAATAAACAGTGGGCATGAAGAGTATTATTAGTACATTGATAAAAGTACATTGGCCTTGGTTATCAATTTTTTAAAATATTATGAATTTTATAATTACACCATAAATATGAGATGTTTATGATAAATAAATAAGATAATTACTGTACATGTCTAAAAGATATTACAGATTAATTTTTATTAATTATCACATTTGTTCTCATAATTCATAAAAACATAAATAAGATATATTTATATCAAATATTAACTCAACTTATAATTCATTATAATTATCATTAATAGTAACTATGGGGTCGCTATCGAAGCACCGGCCGTACAAACCCATAGCCATCAGTGGTTTATCGTAATCCTCGACCTTAAGTCTAACATCCCTTCCCTCTAGTTGTGCCTCATATTCATAAACCCAATACTGTTTGGGCACTAAAGCCAAGTGATTGGCCGTAACGCTCGCATACGTGTAATTAGTGGCGAATCGGGCGCTCAGTCCTAACCACTGGAACACCGTCTCATTGGCTTCGGTAGGAAACGACACACATCTACCGGTGCTCTGACCCTCGCATCGAAACACAGCACATATTTCTTCACACATGGGATATATGGTTGGGTCAGTCGGGTATGTGTGACCACTACTGTTCCTAACCATCAGCCAATACGACTCCCGGCTCAGCGAGAGCTCCGACACCACAGAGTAGTTTAGGTGACAACACAACCCTTTATCGCAAACTACATGATCCTGTTGTTTGTCAACCAGTTTATAAAGGGTTACACCATTTATGTCCATCTGTTTGTACCGATACTCGGATGTGGTCTTCAAGGCGTCGATGGCAACGGTTTTATTGAATGGATTTGTAGTCAGACACGAAGCCATTGGGTTACGGCTGTCGATAGGTATGTCCGCAATCAACAATTTAGCAGTTTTAGTAGTGATGTCAGTCGAGACTATCGGCCCATTTTCACCCGCGTATATACCGGTGCCAACGGAACCTGTATTAAAAGAGTTTGAACATTGATTTTTAATACAATCAGCAAAAGGTTTACCTGTTTTGAGGTCCAGAATATTAGCCGTCAATAGGTTGACCCTATGATTGAGAGCCCAGCCCTCCTGAACCTGTTTGGCTGACCGGAGCGGTAGCTCATCGAACCAATAGGTGGGGAACAGCATCGTTTGTATGTCATACTTGGCTACGGCATCGACACCCGGATCACGAAATAGTATATCAAAACATATCTGTAAACCCATTCGTCCGTACGGTGTGTCCACATGTATGACCTCTACCTCTTTGGGAGTATTGTATTGACTCTCGAAGAATAGGTGCTGTTTGTGATACTTAGCCACCAGTGAGCCGTCATCGCCGAAAACCACGGCCGTGTTGTACAGGTAGTGGCCATCGTGTGGACAGTTAGCATCGCCGGTGCCCTTGCAATCAATCCGATCTCCATAATCGGCTACAATATACAAGTGATTTGTTTTTGCCAAACAACTCAGTGTCAGGGTTATAGGAGTCGATGTATACTCTTGTGGTGTATTGCACGGTGCGAATCGCCCGGTGCTGGGGTCGGGTATGTGTTCCGCAAATGTGGCCACTGTATGGCGCTTGTAGTTCATGGTGTTTATGATACCATTTTCGGGATACACCAGGATGTTTGTGCCCTTTTTTGGTGGGAATGTATGTTAAAAATGTTAAAAGATTTTTATGAATAAATTTTTGTTGAATTTTTCTCACGTATTGAGAGGCCGTTGACGCGATCTCCTCAAAGACTTTCAGATTGTTGCCGATTATCACATGTGGGTCCTCTAAGGTGTCGTCCCCCTGGTATATGTGCTCATAAACACCGGCCCTAAAACAATCAGTTGTGCCTGGTTCATGGTTTTTAACTAGATTTATATTAAAGTAAATACTAAGCAACACTATTATAGCTGTTATATAAATAATAATTTGTCCCATTTTTAGTGGTAATGAAATTGTTTATGACATTTAAGTGTTGAAAATTAAGTTTTAAAGTAAACATCATTTATTAATCACTAACTGATTGTCAAAATGTATATTTAAAAGTGTTTGATTAATATGAAGTTCATTAGGACTGAAATGTAAATGTATTTTGATAGTGCTGTGAATGTTATGAAATGTTGATGTGAAAATGTAACAAGACATTTAAATTAAAAGATAAACAATTCACTACATTATATTAGTTAGTTAGATTATATTAGTTCAATGAGAGATTTGTAGCATCAATATAGCGACTCTTAACTCTCACTCTAACCCTAATCTTCAAATATGTTACTTAAATATAAATCTAATAAAACTTATAACTTATTATACTGTATAATCTACATTAAATTGAGTCAAAATTATTCATTGTGTCTAAACCAACCCACTACAATAGTTATTAACTGTCATTTGATAATTATAGCGATAATTGTTGTATATTCCGGCAAATATTTCTACATTTACTGTACCCTAAAATGTGAATTTTTAATAATTATAAAATACAATAAATATTTATAACTTAATTTGATAATTTGTTTAAATAAGTTTTAAAAAGTTCCTTTAAAATAATTATCAATGGTTGATAATTTATTAATAAGATTCTAGATATCGTAATATAAATTATGTAATAAATATGATTATACAATATTTTCGTACAAGGTTGTGTGTCAAAACTTTTTAATAATGAAAACTAACTTTCATACAGTACATTATTTTATTACAGTAAAACTTATGAATAATACTTAATTAGTAAATCAATATTTGTATTAATATTATTGTATTGTATTTATGGTATAAAGTTTGGAAAAGTTCACGAAAACAAGTTATTGGCAAATGTTTTGCACGATATTTATAAGGAATTATTGATTCAATTGAATAATAATTATTAAATATTAGAAATATACAAATTTAGTGCATTAATTAAATATCAAGTTCAGTTCAATAATGTCTCTCAACAATATTTCTATACATAGGTTTCAAGAAAGTAATCATTTTTCTAAATATCTGAGCATTGAGTATCATATTGAACAGGTTTACCGTGCTCAGGGTATTAAAATAAAATTAGCCAGCTATTGGTTTGCATTTAATTACGTGGTTTTTATATTTACATATGGCTTATGTGCATTTGTGGACGTTGATTATAATACAAAATTATTATTATTTAATATGTCTATATTTATCGGTGGTATTGAAAAATGTAACGCAATTTTTACCATACTTTCCTCAATTTTTGGTCTCGTTTTAAATATTAAACTCCATTTACAACACACAAAAAGTTTGGCATTTATTTTTCAACTAATTTACACTATAGATATACCAAATAATAATGATTTTTCAAAGGGTATCCAGAAAATAATGATAAATAAGGTGCACAGATTTAGAGATAAGATTAATAAAATATTACATTTTCTACTTGTTGCATATTGTAAGTACTGGACACATTTTATTAAAATAAGTAAAGTAATTTTAACTTAATTTCATTTTAAAAATATAGTTATCTGTCTCATTTACCTATACATTTCAATTATATTCAAATATTACACTATAAAACAATTTATAAGTTCGTGGTTATTTCAATTATTATCAGTATCTACGATATACTATTTTACAATTGATATATTCACCATAGCCTCCATAATATCCACATCAATATATTATCTATTAGTAAATATAAATCAAATTAACAATATACTAGATGGTTTGTCGATAAGTGATCGCTTAAAGTATCAAGACTTTTATACATCGCTTAATTTATATATCACTGAACACAATAGGATGTGTAATACTCTCCATGAATTCAATGGATTCTTTGAGGAGTTATACTTAGCGTTCATATTAATTGTATTTCCTAACAGTTTAATGTTGTTATATACTATACTCTTTGAAGATTTATTTCCCATGATCAGATTCTCGTATTGCTTGATATTATTATTCATGTATGCATTTTTATTTATATGTCAATGCGTATTGGCGGTCATATCATCAAAAATTCACAAACAATGCCACAAATTATCACGACTTGAGTGGTGTATAAATGTCAGGCCTTTTCCGATGAGATTTAAACTCAAACTATTGATGTGTTTCGAGAAACTCAGTAGTAATCGGAAATTGGGCGCAAGGATTGGCTGGTTTACTGTAATGACATTTCCCGTTTTCAGTATTGTATGACATTTTATATTTACAATATTCATTAATCACAATTGACTAATTTTAAATTTATTGTTTTAACAGATGGTTAGATTGTATATACGATACTTCATATTATTTATAAAATTAGCAAAAGATTCANTATTAACTGTCATTTGATAATTATAGCGATAATTGTTGTATATTCCGGCAAATATTTCTACATTTACTGTACCCTAAAATGTGAATTTTTAATAATTATAAAATACAATAAATATTTATAACTTAATTTGATAATTTGTTTAAATAAGTTTTAAAAAGTTCCTTTAAAATAATTATCAATGGTTGATAATTTATTAATAAGATTCTAGATATTGTAATATAAATTATGTAATAAATATGATTATACAATATTTTCGTACAAGGTTGTGTGTCAAAACTTTTTAATAATGAAAACTAACTTTCATACAGTACATTATTTTATTACAGTAAAACTTATGAATAATACTTAATTAGCAAATCAATATTTGTATTAATATTATTGTATTGTATTTATGGTATAAAGTTTGGAAAAGTTCACGAAAACAAGTTATTGGCAAATGTTTTGCACGATATTTATAAGGAATTATTGATTCAATTGAATAATAATTATTAAATATTAGAAATATACAAATTTAGTGCATTAATTAAATATCAAGTTCAGTACAATAATGTCTCTCAACAATATTTCTATACATAGGTTTCAAGAAAGTAATCATTTTTCGAAATATCTGAGCATTGAGTATCATATTGAACAGGTTTACAATGCTCAGGGTATTAAAATAAAATTAGCCAGCTATTGGTTCGCATTTAATTATGTGGTTTTTATATTTACATATGGCTTGTGTGCATTTGTGGACGTTGATTATAATACAAAGTTATTATTATTTAATTTGTCTATATTTATCGGTGGTATTGAGAAATGTAACGCAATTTTTACCATACTTTCCTCAATATTTGGTCTCATATTAAATATTAAACTTCATTTACAACACACAAAAAGTTTGGCATTTATTTTTCAACTAATTTACACTATAAATATACCAAATAATAATGATTTTTCAAAGTGTATCCAGAAAATAATAATAAATAAAGTGCACAGATTTAGAGATAAGATTAATAAAATATTACATTTTCTACTTGTTCCATATTGTAAGTACTGGACACATTTTATTAAAATAAGTAAAGTAATTTTAACTTAATTTTCTTTTAAAAATATAGTTATCTGTCTCATTTACCTATACATTTCAATTATATTCAAATATTACACTATAAAACAATTTATAAGTTCGTGGTTATTTCAATTATTATCAGTATCTACGATATACTATTTTACAATTGATATATTCACCATAGCCTCCATAATATCCACATCAATATATTATCTATTAGTAAATATAAATCAAATTAACAATATACTAGATGGTTTGTCGATAAGTGATCGCTTAAAGTATCAAGACTTTTATACATCGCTTAATTTATATATCACTGAACACAATAGGATGTGTAATACTCTCCATGAATTCAATGGATTCTTTGAGGAGTTATACTTAGCGTTCATATTAATTGTATTTCCTAACAGTTTAATGTTGTTATATACTATACTCTTTGAAGATTTATTTCCCATGATCAGATTCTCGTATTGCTTGATATTATTATTCATGTATGCATTTTTATTTATATGTCAATGCGTATTGGCGGTCATATCATCAAAAATTCACAAACAATGCCACAAATTATCACGACTTGAGTGGTGTATAAATGTCAGGCCTTTTCCGATGAGATTTAAACTCAAACTATTGATGTGTTTCGAGAAACTCAGTAGTAATCGGAAATTGGGCGCAAGGATTGGCTGGTTTACTGTAATGACATTTCCCGTTTTCAGTATTGTATGACATTTTATATTTACAATATTCATTAATCACAATTGACTAATTTTAAATTTATTGTTTTAACAGATGGTTAGATTGTATATACGATACTTCATATTATTTATAAAATTAGCAAAAGATTCAAGATTTGATTAATGTATTAAATAAATTAACTTATTTTATTTCAAGTTAATAAATAAATATTAATAATAATATTAATATTTTATATAATAAATAATATTAATGATAAAATTATAGAAATAAATATCATTATTTAAATGATCAATATTTACATATAATATAAATGGCATGAATTATCCCGGGTATATATCCCAGAATCGTAAGTAAAATATTGATGAGTAGATCGCAGTCACAGCCCTTTTCCAACAATACGCCCAACGGTGGCAGGATTATGGCAAAAAGTATCTTGAATATATCCATACAGGTACACGGCATCTTGGACAAGTTATCTTATTCTGAAGTGTGTTTAAACAACCTAGACAAGTATTAAATAATAAAATTAAAATGCAGAGAAATTAGTTTATTTCATACTTAAAATCACGTATAAACCAAAATACTAAAGTTAAAAACTGAAATCAGTAACTATTGTTAAAAATATTTTATGTTTAGCACATTTGTTACACACTCCTAAGGTTTATATAAGATTTCATATTAACAAATATGCTTAGAAACCCAATTAATCTGTGATTTTTATGGTGCAATACTTGCAAGTTAGTGCAAATAAAAAAAATTTAAAACTTTACCTGTTCCTACACGCTTTCAATAAGTACCCAGATATCATAAAACATTTCAAATTCTATACGACTAACAGGAATTCAAGTACTTTGCGGT